CAAATAAAATGTAAAATGTAAAAACTGTAAAGGTGAAACAATCACAATTACACTGACCACCAGGGAGCAGCACACCATCAGTTAGCATCCCCCCCCCTCTCTCCTCTAACAGCATAAAGGAAGATGAACTATATATAAGTACTATCAAAACATAAATATTAAATATGACATAATTTTGTAAATGTTATACAAACTAGTTATGTTGTTTACATATTCAAAGTAAGAAAACAGTGAATATCTTAGGTACAGAAGTTTCAACCCCTTTTAGCCAACACTTTGGCAAAAGTGGCACTTTGCAAACATTTTCTGTCTTTATATTCTGGGTGAGAGGGGAGGGGAAAAGGCAAACAATTGGAAGGGCTTCAAACTTCTCCACCTGCTTATTTTGAATCTGTACACAATTTCAATTTCAATTTATTAGTTTCGGTCATTGACCAGCAAACAGCTGAACACAGATAATCAACTTTGCATAAAGCGATCATGTTTCATTTGGCACCATTTAGTGGTTGGACCACGTTTTGTTCGCTTCCTAATTCTTTGGAATGGAGTGCTGAAACTTTATTTAAGTGTGCTGGGATCTGAGCTGGTTATCAAGAAAAGCAGTGAAGGTTACAGCAATTGGCTCAATCAACCAATCTTTGAGTGGCAGTCAAAGTCTATTCCTATTAGGAAATATTCATAAAAGGATCAACCATACATGTACTATAATATTACAAGTGTTTGAGATATTGAGATGATACAGTTTGACAGACTTTGGCCTAACCTTCTAGGTTACCTATACATCGCTATTGAATATGCACCCTATGGGAATTTGCTAGACTTCCTACGCAAAAGCCGAGTGCTGGAGACAGATCCTGCCTTTGCCAGAGAGCATGGGACAGCCTCAACCCTCACATCCCAGCAACTCTTGCAGTTTGCATCTGATGTAGCCAAAGGCATGCAATATCTGAGTGAAAAACAGGTCTGTATGCCAAGCAGCCCGACTCTCTGGACTCACTGAACAGTTATTTGCATGTCTAGATTCTGTTTCTGCTGTGTTTCACAAACACAGAATGGTAGACCTGTGACCATTCTAGGGAATGACTTCACAGGACTAGAACAGTACAAGTGTTTTGTTAGAAGAAATGTCCATCTGGGTTCAATTCCAAGTGGGACAAAAGCCCCTGGATACATGGAGAGTGCTTGGAAGGATGGTTTAATGGAGCAGAACCATTAAGCACATGGTCCTGGTGCAGCTGAACACATGAAGTGGAGAGTGAGATATATTTATATCCTCTCTTGGGCTTTGCAAGAAATGTATCCTCTTGATTGTCAGACTCCAAGGTGGCTATGCGGGTGGTCCAGCTAACCTTGTCTGCGTCCCAGGCTTGGTTGACTCTTGCTGGGTGATGATGTAATGAACAGGCTTGTATTCTGAAAGGGTGTTGGGCAATTCCTATTATTCCTATTACTGGCTTTGTCCTGGTTTGGATCTTGAGTGAGGGCTAATCCTATCACCCCGGAGCTGAAGGCCTTTTGTCTTGTAGATAGGATGGCTCAGTCTTTCTGGGGCTATTAAAAAAGGTAGGGGCTGCTTTCCAAGAGCATGTTTCTCCTTTTCTCATCCAGGGAGGTATAATACTCTGGCTTTTTGATATTTCCTAGAATATTTCATTCTTCTAGGAGAGGTGTGGGTGCTAACTTTCTACAGTTTTCAGAAGGAATTATTGAGAATTTTAAGAGCTAGAAGCAACTGGGTATTGTCCTAGTATGAATTAGAACTGAATGTACTAGAATTTTGAATCACAGACGATCTTGCATTTTCAAAAAAAAAAATCCTTGAGAAAGTTAGATGTGAGATGCACTAAGGAATTCCAGTCCATTCATAGTAGAACTTGTGAGTGTTGTCATTGCCTGTAAAACGGTGGCATTCTCTGCCACTAGCTATATGACTTATTATTGTTTCCTTTTTGCTAGTTTATCCATCGAGACCTGGCTGCCAGAAATATACTGGTTGGTGAAAACTTGACCTCCAAGATTGCTGATTTTGGTTTGTCCCGAGGAGAAGAAGTTTATGTAAAGAAGACAATGGTGAGTTTGGTAGAGAATCACTGCAAAGTGGGAATTAGAGTAACTAGAATATTCCTTGAGAAATACTCTCCCACATTCCGCAGGCTTCTTTTCCAGTTTGAAGAAAAGAGTGTTCCATATCTTTGTCTTTGTTGTCTCTGCTTCTTCCCTTGTTTCTGATTCTTCAAAAATGTTTCAGGGACGTTTACCGGTTCGTTGGATGGCCATTGAATCCTTGAATTACAGTGTATACACAACTAAGAGTGATGTGTGAGTATCGTATCCTTTGGGAATAGGGTTCACCTCAGGTTTCAAATGGTAGGCAATGCTCAATCTTCCACAAAATCTTTTAATCCGTTTCTCAGCTGACATAATAAGGAATATAGGTTGTGGCCAAGCATTTCCCACTCACTGTATTATAGGTAGATTGTTCATGCTAGCTAGAACTTGAAGGAATTGACATCCAGCAAGTTTGTAGATGTTGAAAGACATGTAAACTGACTTACAATTCATAAACAGAAGATACTGACTTTTTAATATTTTCTTTTCCTTTGTAGGAACCAAAACCAAAATAAACGTAAAAAAACCCAACACATTCTATTACTAGGCTAAATGTACTAAAAGCCCACAGTCCACATCCTAACTTATCTTTCTGTTGCAGGTGGTCTTTTGGGGTCCTTTTGTGGGAAATTGTGAGCTTGGGTAAGTTCCTATCTAGTGGGAACAGGTTGGACTTTGTTCCCTCAATTGTCCTGCAATAGTCTGAATCCTACTTGGGCCCCACACTGCTTTGTACAGCTTGTTCTTCTCATAAGTTCCACTTCCTCAGACTTTTTTCTGTGGCAAGAAAACTTCTTTCATTTTGTTTCATATTGTAATCAGCTTAAAACATACATTTTGGAAGCAAGCACAAAGTGTGAACAATCTGAGGATTTTCTTGAGGGAGAAGACAAAGTTTACATAAGTTCCTACGTATCTAGCATCCCATCTTATGCTTGATGTTTTGATATTTTCAACAATGTTGCCCTTTTCAATGGATGGAGACCAAAGATAAGATGGTACTAATATAGAAATAGATAGTTCTGGAAGAAATGGTAGCATTCAGATACCAGCTTTGTTCTGGCAATTAAAGGCTGCTATACATGTGCATTATACCCCCAAATGGGTAAATATGGCATTTTGTCTGGTCTGTCTTTCCCCTTGATAGGAGGGACACCATATTGTGGCATGACGTGTGCAGAGCTTTATGAAAAGTTACCGCAAGGATACCGCATGGAGAAGCCTCTCAATTGTGATGATGAAGTGTAAGTGTAAGAGGCCCTGCTCAAATATCCACTTTCTACATATTTCATTCCCTACCTTCTAATGTACATATATTTAACCATATTCCATTGATGGTAACTGACAGACTAGGACTTGGTTTTCACATGTTCCCATTATTTCATTCTGGTGGAAATGATAAAGAGAACAGAAAACAGACTGCAGGTAGTCCTCAACTTACAACAGTTCATTTAGTGACTGTTCAAAGTTACAATGGCACTGAAAAAAGTGACTTATGATCATTGTTCACGCTTATGACCTTTGTAAGCAGCCACATGATCATGTGATCAAAATTCAGATGCTTGGAAACTGGTTCATACTTATGACCGTTGCTATGTCCCGGGGTCATGTGATCACCTTTTGCAACCTTTTGACAAGAAGCCAGAGTCAGATTACTAACTTACCATCTGAAGTGATTCATTTAACAATGGTGGCAAAAAGGTCGTAAAATGGGGCAAAACTCACTTAACAAATATCTCACTTGACAAGAGAAATGTTGGACTCAAGTATGGTCGTAAGTCGAAGAGTACCTGTGCTAGCTTTTCAGAATAGACCATCCTGGCATTTCCTCTTCCCTCAATGTTTTGTTGTTGTTGTTTTTAATTCATCATTTCCTCCTTTAGGTATGAATTAATGCGTCAATGCTGGCGGGACCGGCCATATGAACGTCCACCATTTGCTCAGATCTCAGTGCAGCTCATTCGCATGCTAGAAGCTAGGAAGGTATTGATATCCTACTGTGATCTAAACAATTACTGTGACCTCTGGAGTATTTATAATTAGATACCATTGCCCAATGTTACCAATAGAATAGCCAAGGCATTATTTTCATGGCCTTCAGTTGAAAAAGACACAATGTCAACTGTATCTCTCAATTCACTTCAAAATGATGGGATACAGGTAGCCCTTAGAGATATAAACCAATAGGATTATATCAAGCAATTGTCCCAAGGCATGGTATAGAGTTTACTTTTAGCAGTATCTCAGTGTAAGGCTAAATAGTGAGTTACTATTATCATTTAGTCTGTAATCAAAACTAGGAGGAAAATGTAATTTCAAACAAAGGATGAAAAGAAATCTCCCTATTGAGTAGCCTTTAATATGATTCTGTTTCTGTTTGGCAGGCATATGTGAACATGGCATTATTTGAGAACTTCACTTATGCAGGAATTGATGCAACGGCCGAGGAGGCATGAGGACTTAACTTTCAACTTGGCAATAAATATAGCCCAGATAATTGGGACTTTCTTATGTATTTGCCTCATGATGATGTCAACAATTTATCATACAGACTGTGCTGGGCACAGTGTACAGATGGGTGCTGTTAGTTTAGAAGATCCTGCAGGAATCTAACATGTCAACTTTTCCTAGAGCGGAGGAGAATACCTTTGAATGGATTGGTCCAAAATGTGGAGCTTTTGAAAATCAAACTTTAAATGTATTTCCTGTGTAAGAGAGAGGCCCCTCACTCCAAGGGAGAACATTGTCTAAACTGCTCCACCATACTGAGGAAAAAAAATATCAGAAGTTTGGGATCCAGTCAAGGACACCATGATTACAATGCACACCATACAAGAAAGGACAGGCTCACATTATTGCAAAATTCCTTGGACAGTATTACTGAAAAGGTGGAGCAGTTGGCAAACAATGCAATTCCTTCCAGAACCCAATTCTCCAAGGAATAACATCTATCCATAATGATCAGTTTCGTTAGCCCTATTAACTAATTCAGATCAAGAAAGCAACTCCACAGGAACACTCCCTTTTACTTATATAGTTACACCAATTAACTCTTACACCAATTAACTGTTAAAGCTGATTATAGTTACACGAATTAACTGTTAAAGCTGATTAGGATTGGAACAGCTATTTAGCAAATGAAATCGATGTCCATTTAGAATTAGATCACACAGAGCAGGTGGGGCAATTGTGCAGATTAAACTATGTCTTTAGCACTCCTCTTTATTATGACATAATATTGAGAGCTGGCCTACTTTTAGCTTTCTTCCTAGGATATTTTTTTAATAGTTTAAGATACAAAATAGGAAAGAAAAAGAAAAAAATGGAAAATCAATGCATGCATGTAAATGAGTTTTTCTCCACTGTTACGGTTTTGCAGAAATGTAGGTTCATTTCTTTGCTGGCTCTCTCTTCCCACTCTGCATTCTGAACCTTAATGTTGTTTGCTTCAGAACTAGTAGCTGCTGTGAATTCAGAAGTATGCTTTGGACATTGTTATATGGATCTCTTCTTCCTTTCCAAATCTTTTCTTCTGTTCCAAAATTATTTCAAACACCTTTTTCATAAATGAGTTTTTCCTAACAAATTTTGTTTCAAACTCTGGACAAATTATACTTCAAGTATTAAGTCATGCTTCCAAGGGATGATAAATGACACACACCTATTCTAATACAACGAAACCATGAGTCACAGCACCCAAGCCTCTGAATCAAAAAGTAAACTTTTTAACCAACTTAATTATAAGTTTCCTTGGGCTATTTCAGGACAAGCTGATGGAAAAATAGTTAGATTTATTTGCACCAACCTATTTCCTACCTCTTGACTCTGTCTACAAACTTTTTTTTGTATTACCAGCCCCATTTAGAATCAGGTATTTTACTCTGTCAAAACTGAGGAATTTGAGTGGGTTTTTTTTCCACTAGCTACAGATATAAAATCATTATAAAATCATTCAAGATAGTTATAACCTAATTACTCACTATTGTTTGTTATGTGAATTCCCTTTCCATAGAGATGGTCCAAAGTCTATTATCATTCTGGATGTCAAAGTTGCATTCAACCCAGGGTTTTTCGAGCTTGGCAACTGTAAGATGTGGGGACTTCAACTCCCAGAATTCCTCAGCCACGATGGGCTGATTTAAACATATCATGATTGATTCAAGAAATCCTCATGGAGACCATATAGAGCAGAGGTGTCAAACTCACGGCGTCGTCACATGACTTTTTCCCCCTTTCGCTAAACTGGGCATGGGTGTGGCCAGTGTGTGACGCATCCGGCCTAAGGGCCGGGAGTTTGACAACCCTGATATAGAGCATTAAGAAAACTTAATGTTGATATAACTTGTCTTCAAGAAACACATATTAAGAAACAAGTCAAGAAGCAGTTAATAAATAAAAGATTAGAGGAGAAATTTATATCTGCCAGTGTAAAAAACATTAATGGAGTTGTTCTATATATAAAACTCCAATTTAAACCTAAATTACTTTGAATGTGGTAGATTTGTAGCAGTGGAAATTGAATTTAATGGAATAAAATCAATAATAGCTGGTCTTTATGTGCCAAATGATGATTAAAAATAAACTTTTTGAATATCTTATAGATATCTTATGGATCAATTACTATCCTTTTCATATGAAAATTCACTTATTTGGGGGGACTGGAATGAAGTGATTTGCCCATTTTTGGATAGAACATATACCAGAGGGATTAAATCCTCCCAGGATAAATTATCAAAGATATTTTTTTTTGAGATGATGTATAATTTAGCACTAATAGATTCATGGAGATAAAGAAATTGTTCTGCTAGAGAATATACTTTTTTTCAGAATGAAATAAATCTTTTTCAAGGATGGTCATGATATGAATTTCTAAAAATCTTGCAAATAAAATTCTAAAAGTTAATATTTTACCTAAAACTTTTTCTGATTCCCAATCCAGTTCGTTTGGAATTTAGAAAAAAAGAGTCTGAGTTATAGATGGAGATTAAATGAATCCATCTTACAAAAGGAAATAATTGTAAAAGACTGTAAAAAGAAATTAAATGAATACTTTGATAATAATCTGGCTAAAGGAACACATTTAATGACTGTTTGGGATGCTAGCAAAACAGTTATGAAAGTGTTGGAAGAAATGTCCATCTGGATTCAGTTCTAAATGGGAGAAAGACACTGGAAACATGGAGGCTATTTGGAAAGATGGTTTAATGAGAGACAGGACCACATGGTTTGAGGTCCTGGGCGAAAAGAAGCATATGGGTGTGGGAGAGAGAGAGATTTATACCCTCTGTTAGGCTTTGACAAAGCAAAGAAATTTTGGTGTAGGCTTTGCATCTTAACACAGAAGATTCTCAAAGTGAATATAAAGATAAAATCAGAAACTTTTCTTTCGGGTTTAATGAAAAAAAGTCTTGGGAATTTTTTTTTGGAAATTTGATGTTATATATATATTGACGGCAGCAAGGTTTTATTTTATGCACAAAAATGGAAAGAAACTTTGATTCCCACAATGGACAAATGGCTGCAAAAGTTGGTGGAGTTAGCAGAGATGGCTAAACTGACTGTTTTCATGAAAGAAAAAAAATACAATTACTTTTGTTTCTACTTGGAAATTGCTTCTGGACTTTGTGCTTGAGGTGGAAAAAATGAAACTTTGATTTTGGGTTTTACTATTTACATTGATTTGTTGTTATTGAAATGGCTAGTTTATACTATTATGTAAAGGTAAAAAGTTGAGGTTTGATGTTATTATCTTATTCTATGTACTGTACCAAAGGGAGTTGGAAGTCAATGGCTTTTACCTCTACTGTGACCCTTCCCAACCCCCAAAATTTCTCTAAAAGTTGTCTTTGCATTCAGGCTTTGGGGTATCTGTTGTGATGGGCTATGGGGGATGATATCCCCCCATCACTTTTCTACTGCAATGAAGATGCTGATGATGATGAGAATGACAGCAGATTATATCATTACTTAAATATGAAAGCAACAATAAAAAACAAAGTAATAAAACCACTCTCATTTGTTAATGAGTAACATAGACTGGAGTCTCCTCTTCATATACTTATAGGGCTGGAAGTCACCTTGGAGGTCTTCTAATCCAATCCTTTGCCCAAGGTCCTTATTCCACCCCAGACAAATGGTTATTCAATTGTTTCTTGAAAAAGTTCCAGCAATGGAGCATCTTCAGATGTTCCTGAAGGTAGTAGTCAATGCCAGTCAACTACTTTTCTTGGTTCTCCAGAAATCTGGCTCTTGCTTATTCATATGACTCTATCACATGGCTCCCCACCCCTAAATATTTTGAACAATGCATTAGGTAGTGGGGGAAAAGTGTCCCTTTTAGCTAATGAGGGTTGCTTGCCTATATGGATTATTTCTGTTTCAAGACCATCACCAACACTTGCCTGCCCCTCACATTATCCCATGTGGGGTCAGAGGATGTTTATTTCCTATCCTCCAAGGCACCACCACAAGGGCAGGACATTCACCCTATCTGATAGCCACAGTCTCTAGGCAGGGTTTCCCCTCTTGCAGACCATGGCATGGTGGTTTGGGGCTGGGGAAGTGGCAGAAGAATGGAACTATAGAAGGCTTTTACCGAAGTTTCCTCTAAGCAGCTGGGCTGACACTCTACAGATAAGTTTCCGCTACAGAGGTCCAACAGCAGAGACTCAGAGTTTTGGAGTTCAGAATTGGAACATCAGATTGAACCATGCTCAGCAAGTGTCCAGACCTCCTGTGCATTCAGATATCCATAACCACATAATCAGGTTATGTGATGATACTCAGCTGCAGTTTAGATACCTAAACCAGTGACAGTTGATCACCTTTCAAATGGCAGTCAATTTGTGCTCAATGACACCACTTCCTTTCCTTGTTATGCTCCTGCTCACCATTTTACGTATGCTCCACTTTGTCCTTGTTACAGATGAAGGTAAGGATAAACATTGCTGTACTTCCCTTTGTCCAGGAGAGCATGATTTTTGGGGTTCTGCAAATCTAAATGTGAATGTAGCACAGATGGGTAAATAAGTATTGGACTGTAGTATCTGGGAAGGGGGAATGAAAATTTATGGAAACATCTCGGTCAGTTTATTTGACATTGCTAATTTCTGGACATAACTCTGCAACTAGGAAATCCATTTGAGATAATTTTTCTGGATAAACAGTCTATTAATTGTAAACAGAACTTAGGTGCACTCGCTTTTCAAACATATCTGTATCTGGCAAAGAGGGAGTCTCTATATCCTTTCAGCAATGTGGGAGGACTGAAAACAAAACTCCATCCTTTTATATAATTTAGCTCTCTTTCCAATTTTATGGCATCATCATGTCGTTGTTCAATTCTGACAGTTAGTGATAACCTGCAAAAGAAGTGATGCTGGAAGGAAAGAGTAACAAAACAGTTGCCCAGAGGGTAAACAAAATCTCAGCGAATACCGTAAGTGCAAAAAGGTTATGTCCCAATGTGTATCGAGGAAGCATTTTAGGCTTTTGAATTGTTCCCTTCTGCATTTATGTGAAGTGACGTATTTGTCCAGCTGTGGCCTGAGAATTCAGAGGTAACAGGAATTGGACACTAAGCAAGAGAAATCAACTCCAGGGCCCTTCTTTACTTATACCACAAGGCTCTCTTTCCTTAGTTGAAAGGAAAATCTATTTAGCAAATGAAGGTAAATATACTGTCTGTTTATTAGGATAAAGATATGGGATAGGACAATGTAACTTGGAGCTAATGGCTGATATTTCTATTAAAGCCAATTGGCCAAAGTTTTAGACTAGTGTCAGGAATATGAAACATAATGTATTAATGGCAAGTAAACAAATTTTCCTCATCATAATCCTGATTATTTCATATTGTAATCAAAAGCAGTGATTCTTTAGGATATAGCACTGCCATATCACATGTCTACTCTGAAACAAGTAAATAAATATGGTTCTTTATCTTTAAATCCAGTCCTTATTTTTTTAAAAATTCACGTAGCTTCTATAAAAATGCTAACAAAGGAAGGATGCACATAGATATTAACTCTGCAAATTAGATGCTGTAGAGATTTTGTAAAAGAGCCTCAGTAAAGTTTGGTATGTGAGGCTTGTGGTTATATGTAATGAAATACATTAAAGTTTAGAGTGAAAATAAGCTTTGCTATTAAACTGCCTTGATGATTACTTTCTGTTTTTCTGCATAGGTCCAGATGTTGCAAACTTGTTATAAAGGGGCATCCCTATACTGGAATGCTCTAAATGCTTTAGTTTATCAGTTAAACAGATGCTGTATTTTTAATCCTACAGTAGAACTTCTGGTTCCGACTATAATTCGTTCCATAACTTTGGTCACAACCCGATTTGAATGTGACCTGAACCTAATTTTGGAAATTTGGCACTTACAAAAAAAAAAATTGGCGTGGAGGGCAAATTGGCTGTGGAAAAAAAAAAATGGGTCGGAACCCGATTTGGTCGTGGTCAGAAGCATTCATGACCAGAGGTTCTACTGTGTACTTTGAAATGTTATATTTCCATCACATGTTGGATGGAAACAAATATATTCCTGTTTCTTATTGTTTGTGTAGCCCCACCAATCTTCCTCTGGCAAAAGATGTGGAATTGTACCAGATTTCTCGCTGCCCCCGCCCTTTCTTTTACTCACCTCAGATATTTAATAGACACTAGAAGAATAAAACACTGTCTCATCATCAACATTAACCTAAGCTCATACTCTCAATCTGTAGCTGAAATGTGGGGTGGAGGAGAGAAATGATCTTGTCTTTCAGTTCAGGCAGCAAAATGTCTCCAGGCAGCTCTGCTAATGAGAAAGGAATCTATTTTCTCTGCATTCTAAGACTGTTTTTCTGTTTTCAAAATTGTATGGGTTTTTTTGTCTACATTTGCATGTAATATGTAATGGATCCTCTTGTTTCCTCCCCACTTCCTTGAGAGCTCTATCTCCCTAAAGCAGGAAGCTTTCATCCCCAAGCCCTCAACAAACGCTTATCGCAAAACCACATGGTTATTTTAGAATGTTTTGTTTGTGAAGGAAGGCTCTCCCACACCCTTACTACAGACCACGAGGGTCTAAGAAACAGCTCCTTTGTTTCATGTTCTCTAAGTTCATCGTCATGATTGTTTATTCAATTCAGATTTCTATCTGAAAATGAGAGCACGTGTACCATAAGACCAATGACACTTAGGTTTACAACTGGACAAGTGGTCAATAGAAATTTAAATCATACAAAGCACAGATTTACAACCGCAAAAGGAAAGTGATGCCAAATATATTTATTTTATTTATTTATTTGATTTGCCAATTGTTTACAAGATAGTAAGTATAAGTGTATACATAGTTGTGAATACATGAAATGGGTACATATAAGAAAAATAAAAGAAGAATAAGAGAAACAATAGGACAGGGACGGAAGGCACGTTGGTGCGCTTATGCACCACAAATACAACAAACTTAATATACTTCCTGATGTTGCCAAATGCTCTTAACATTTTCAACACAGCTGAATGCCATCGTCGTCCCCCCCCCCACACTTTAAAACAGAGATCTCCAAGCTTGGTCACTTTAAGACTTGTGGACTTCAACTTCCAGAATTCCCTAGCCAGCATGCTCTCTCCTTCTCCCGCATCAAGAGGCTCTTTAGTTCCTCTTCACTTTCTGCCATTAGAGTGGTATCATCTGCATATCTGAGGTTGTTGATATTTCTCCTGGAAAATTACTATAACAGAGTTCAAATCAGCTCCTAAGGAAAATGGAACACTTACAAAAACAATGATTTTCAATGACTTTAAGTACATAATTTTATATAAAATTGCAAATTAAGCAAAAAGAAATTGCTCTGAAAAACCCCAAACATGGCTTTGGGGGTTTTGTTTGTTTGTTTTTTGTTTTTATTATAGTGCCTTCAAGTCAGTATCAACTCTTAGCAACCATATAGATATTCTCCATAGCAACCTGTTCCTAGTCTGGACCTTCAGGTCATCCAAGAGTGCACCCATCATCCCTGTAACTGAATCCATCTAACTTGCTGCTGTTTGTCCTCTTCTTCTCTTTTCTTCCATATTTCCCAGACATCTTTAGAGACATCTTTGCATAACATGTTTGAAGTAGGATAATTTCAACCTGGACATTTGAGCCTCAAGTCAGAACTCTGGATTGATGATTCCTTTGTTTGTTTTCTGGATGTTCATGGTATACTAAGGAGTCTTCTTCAACAAAGTTCAAAGGATTAATAATTCTTTCTATCCTCAAAGCAATTCTAAGAGACAATAAACAAACAAATTATTATAGGAAAGAAAATGTTCACCTAAGTAACCACCTAGGAGAGAACAATAGGTACTCAGCCTCTCTGATCTCTTATGTCCATTACTTTGTTGACCCATGATTATACCTAATGTTGCATGTGTTGGGCATCCAGAAATTGTCCATGGTAATCAATCACTCCGAGGCAAGCATAATCTCCAATTGATTTATTAGGAACAGCTCTGGTATACCCATGGAAAATTTCCAAAACTGAAACTAATTTCCAGTGCATCTCTCAAATTCCGCCCTATCTCCTCCCACTTACTATACTTCATAAATCATGAGAACCAATTAACTGCAGCTGGAATTTCTTAATGCGACATACTAAATAACCTTGACTGTTCAACTCCCTCACTCCCCCTTCCATTGTTCACATTCTTGTGGCAGCTGTTCTCAGAGCTGACAGTATGTACTACAGACAGCCAGAATTGGACAACTCACTGCAGCCAACTTGCCATGGCCAATTCGCCACAGCCAACTCATCACAGCCAACTTGCTGCAGGACAACTCACCATGGCCAACTTGCCAACTCGCCAACTCTCTGTGGGACAATTCAACAATTCAATTTAATTATTTAAAATAATTTTAAAATTATTTTAATTTTTGTCATTCACATTTCATTTCATCCTTTCTTTGGCATCCTTTCTTTAATTATTCCATTCTATCATTTCTTCATAGTGTAACTCTTGTCCCATGGTGAGTTGGCTATGGCGAGTTGGCCACAGCAAGTTAGGTGCAGCAAGCTTGGCCATGGCGAGTTGGCTGTGTGTGGCAAGTTGTCGTAGACCCACAGCCGGAATGGGACAACTTACTGCAGCCAACTTTCCACAGCCAGCAGCACATTGGAAAAGGGTTTTCACATCTCTTCACATAAATGCAGAAGGCCTCAGTAAAATTGAAACGAGAAAGAGTACTGTAATGTTTCTCTTCCTGAAACTCATTACCTCCCCCTGTGCAAATAGGAGTGAATACTGGGTTCACAAATCCTGCTAAATAAATGGACACGTAAAAAAGCCAGAACATTTTGGACTTTATTACATAACATAGAATGCTTTAAAACTCGTGTACAATTGTAACCAGAGACTTTTATTTTAAATTTGATGGATATAATTATGCACCTGGAAAAAAAAATCAGGGAACCTTGTTTTTATATGTGATGCAACAATATTATTATATGCACAAAGATGAAAAGATTAGGGTTTACCGATAATGGAGGAATGGATAATGAAGATGATGAAACTTCTGAAATGGCCAAATTAGGCCAAAATGGCTTTCATTAGGATGAAGGGATAGGACGTTGCCTAAATTTAATGATGATCGGGAACCTTTTATTGACTTTTTGTGGAAAACATTATTTTACATTTATATTTATAAGGGCTGTAAGAGAAAATCAAAAGTCACTTCTTTATAATTCTTTTTCTTTTATTTGATTTGATTTCCACACTTTTTGTTCTTTTTTCCTTTCTTTTCCTTTTCTTATTTCTAAAAATTAGCTTTTGTTAGCTTTATTATGTATTTAAAGTTTTAATAAAATTTTATACATAAAAAAATCCTGCTAAGTCATGATATAGTTTGCTTGCATATGTTTAATTGAATGTGAATTTAATTGAATGTGAATTCACCTTAGTGCTTATGTGTGAATCAGGTCTCTTGGGGCACATTTAACAAACTATGTTTTAAAAAATTGGCTTAGTGTAATGCACAAAGTCCACAACCCCTAATTTAAGCTGCTTGATCTCTAAAAAAATAGCAGCATGCTCCCAAAAAATTTTTTTGTCAAGGATGCCATAATTTTGACTACTACAGTACCCTGGATAAATTTGGGGGTTATAGCTGTTCTTTTCATCTAAAAAGTATCAGGAATTCAATTTATTTTCTGATTATTATTATTATTATTATTTTTAAAAAAACCTTTCCCTTTATAGAAGCTATTCTACTGGCCAAAACAGCTCAAGATGTCTTCTGCTTTTCTCGAACCTTTGAGGATCTCACCTGTTTCTGGGATGAGCCAACCCATGTGAAAGGAGCCTATCAATTCTTCTATACATTTGAAGGGTAGGAAGTTATTTTCCACATAGACTGACCAAATTGTCTGAGGTGGAGCATTTATCCTAGCACTTATAAACTTAGATGCCAATTCTAAGCAAATTACTTTGGCATCTAGGAAATATGGGGGCATGATGGCTCAATGGTTAAAGATGTTGACCTTTGTGATATGGATTCAAGACTTGAAGGCCGCACAACAGGGTGAGCTCACCTTAGCAATTTGAAAGTGTGCAAATGCAAGTAGAAGAATAGGTAACACTTTGGTGGGAAAGTAACAGCATTCCGTGTACCTTGGCGTATAGTCATGTTGGCCACATGACCACAGAATTGGCTTTGGACAATGCTGGCTACCTCAATGAAGAAATGAAGATGAGCACTGACCCATAGAATTGGAACAACTGGACAGGGAAACTTTTATTTGTGATTTAACTAAGAACTATAGGAAAGTGATGATTGAAACTCACTTTTGCCATTTTAGAAAAAGATTAGGTTAAGTCACACTGGGGAAGTATCACAGTCCTAATTATTCTATTTTACTCCTGCAGAGACAAAAGTCGAGAATGTGCTCTAATCTCTATGAAAAATACAGATGGAAGTTGGCGCCACATCTGCACATTTCCTGAAAACTATAATGGCATTCAGCTCTTTATTGAACTCAATGTTGAAGTGTTGGATCGTGTTAGTAATCACACCATATTCTCACAGTATCTCAGAGTGAATACTGTTGGTAAGTTTATTCCAAAAGGGTATAAATTATATGTGAAGCAGAAAAAGAGACGAGGACTGGGTAAAGCTTTGAAGAATCCAGCATCCTAAAACACATTCATACTATGACCTGAATTTGACCCAACAATTTTAGCCAAGTCATGATTTCTATGTTATAATTTTGATGATTGGTGGAATGAATCTGTGAATCACACAGACACTAGATTGATGGATTTAATTGAATTTAATTACTGCTATGACTAATTTGGCACTGACAGATAGATTCTTGTTAATAACAGACAGTTATGAACTATTTATTTATATGATTTCATAAGCAATATGCAGGCTTTTATTTCAATCTATCTTTCAGGGCATAGAGTTATCAGTTGCCAAGAGGTGTGATTGATCCTATTGATTTCCTCCGAAGAGAAGATAACATTTTTCACACCAATTTGTCCCCAGAAGAGAGGGTAAAGTTTTTGCAAGGAACCTGAGAAAATGGTTAAGTTCAAGATAGGCACAATGAGCCTTCAAAAGTTTAACACGTCTGTTTTGCATCTTATGTAGCACGAGAGTTAGAAAACAATAGTATCAAATGTTGGAGGTTTGTTCACAGTCTTTTCAATATGTTCTGATGGGTTTTCTAGAAAATGCAAAGGTTGAAAAAAAAAAAGGTTGAAGGATCCCATTTGGATAGTGCCCACCAATGAATTAAACATTAAAAAACCTATCTATTACTAAAAATAATGTAACTATAGTACAAATACAAATGACTTTTGTTTTTGTTTAAAAAAAAGCAGTAACAAGGCTTTATTTTTCTCCCTGGGAAAAGGAGCTCCAAAAATGAGGAGCCACTACCAAGAAAGCCCTGCTCCTAGTATTCCCAACAGCCTAACAACTCTTGCTGGTGAAATACAGAGAAAAGGTTGTCATTTACCTAAAATGTAAAGATAAGGCAGAGACAAAGAGGAAGGTAGTAAAATAAAGATGGGGGGGGGGAAAGGCCTTCGTCAGTAGAATGTGATTACAATTGTACAGTTGTACAGTTCAGGAAGTTTCTTCTGTTAATGGGCCTGGGAACTTGGAAATACGGTAGGCACATGCAATGGCTGCGTTGATTTATTCATGGGGAAAGGTTTTATCAACCTATGGAAATGGGATCATTTGTATGTTGTTGTTCTTTCCTTTATGATTTTTTTTCAGAAAACGAATGACATTTTTATTTTATTATTATTATTAAACACCCAGAGTAATGAACCTGAGATGAGAGGCCATATAAATTGAGACAATAAATTATATAGTAGATCTTGTAAGAAAGTTCAGCTATCAATTCTAAAAGAGGCACAGGTGCATTTGTAACAGACATTCCCAATTTCTGCTCCAGAAAATTAGAACTCTATTGATCAGACTGCCTTCTGTTCAATCTAGAAAGGCTATTCTTTCCTATTCAATCATCACATGAATAGTATAGAGATAAGCAAGAACATTCATTTTTTTTGTTTTTCTTTTAAGGTCTCATTGCTCCACCAACAAATGTAACAGTTGAGTGGCCAGGGATTGCCCAACAGTTGCTTGTAAATTGGATGGCTCCATCTATCAGCTATGCAGACTTCTTGATTTATGAAGTTCTTTATGGTGTTGAGGATTCCATTCAGCCACTATTCAGGGTATGGTTAATAAAGGAAAAAATGGCTTTGCTATAATGGCTGGAGTATATTTTTGCTCTATTACTTTTTTGCTAAAATGGTCTAACTGAAGAAACATTTATACTCTTATTCTATTTTATTGTAGATTGAAGTGAAAAACAGCCAAATGTGCCAGCTCAAGAATCTCCTTCCAGGACAGCAATACCACATCCAAGTTCGCTCCAAACCTGATGGCCTCTCTCTTGATGGCATTTGGGGACCCTGGTCTCCAGCAGTGACAGCAGAAACACCCCATCTTCCTGGTAAGTGTTTTATTGACTAGGAAGCAGCTATCAGTAATGCAACTTCAGAGCAATAGCATGGAAGGATGCACCATTTCTATCTGGAAGTAGAACACCCAGGTACTACAATTGGCAGAATTATACTGCATCAATATTACTACTGCAAAGTGAAAAATTAAAATAAATGAAATTGTTGCAAGAGTGGATTCTGTAACTCCCTAAAAATCCATTTTCCCTCTTCAGGAGACATATTCATGCATGAAAGCAGTCATACAAGTCTTGTGAACCTGTACTTCTGCAAATTTTTCTGGCCCGTAGATGCTTGCACATACAGATGTAAAAACCACGCCCCATGAAACAATGAATTGCAAATACATTTTACTCTCTCATTCTACATTACTATTAAATAATTAAATAACCGCTGAGGAAATGCAGTATCGAGGTATTTGAAATTCTGAAAATGCAAATGTTGCATTTCCCTTCAGGAACCATAGCATGAAACTACTGATTATCCTGACATGACAAGGGTGCACTCAAATCTGCATTTCCTTAGCTAGCAGGACTGAAAGAAGAAGGGACAGAGAGGCATGAATATTTATTTCCAGTTCTGGAGCCTGTTTGGCTATATGGGCATGATTAAAAAGCATGGGAGAGCAAGGTAAAGGTAAAGGTTTCTCCTGCCAAGTCATGTTCAGCTCTGGGGGGCAGTGCTCATCTCCATTTCTTAGCCCCTCAGTGTTATCCAAAGACACTTCTGTGGTCATGTAGCCAAGCATGACTCTATGCCTAGGCACACAGAATGCTGTTATCTTCTCACCAAAGTGATACCTATTAATCTATTTGCATTTGCATACTTCCGAACTGCTAGGTTGGCAGTTGTTAGGGCAAGTAATGGGAGCTCACACTATCATATGACATTTGGATCTTTAACCCGACATTTGGATCTTTAACCTTTCCAGCTGACAAGCTCAGCATCTTCAACCGCTGAGCCATTGCACCTCCTTTTATTGGAGAGTATATGAAGGGCAAACTCAACTAGGGCATAAGGACTGACTTCTTTTCATTAATTCTTGCATGTGCTCCTGTTCAAAATTTGCTTCCCTGTTCAATTTGGGTGTTTACTTCTGCTAACACAACACATTTCATCCAATCAGACATTAATTCAGTCAGATTTCCTTACAATGAACACAGCTATCATGTTACTCCATCACTCTTTGTCATTAAACTAAATATGTCCAATATGAACTAGACATATTCCTTCAACCATTCTTCATATATTTTAATTTCCAGTCCCATAATCATCTTTGTTGCTGTTCACTGCATTCTCAACATCTTTTTTTACATCATGGTGACTAAAGCTGGATTCAATATTCCAAGTGTGGTCTTATCAAGCAAGGCATTATAAAGTGATCTTAACATTTCATGTGGTCTTGATTCTATCCCTCTGTTTATACAGAGGGAGCTGCCGTACACTGCTGGCTCATATTTAAATGATTGTCCACCAGGACACCAAGATCCCTCTCGTAGCTACTACTATTGTGCCAGGAACCACCTATATTATGCTTGTGCTTTTGGTTTTTCTTGCCTGAATGTAAAACCTTACTTTTCTCCACCACCGAATTTCATTTTGTTAGATAGGGTTTGGTTTTCAAGTCTGCCAAGATCCTGTTGTATCTAGAGTCTTTATTCTGGAGTCTTTCTTCTGCATCTTTTTACTCCTTTATTCACACACACACACACACACACACACACACACACACACCGGAGGGGGGAGGTGAGGAGAAAAAGGTAGAAAAGCTGCTCAGCGTCTTTTGACTGTTAACCCTAGGAATCTTCCATCCAGAAGTGCTCCAACTTTCTACAAATTCACATTGATCCTTTCCTTTGCAGAAAGAGTTTTGCTTCTAAGGCACAGCAATAAAAAAAAAATCTAAATATAATTATTTTTCTTGTTAATGAACAAGACATGTGGGGTTTTTTTTCCACATTTTATAATGAAGAATAAAGTCATGAAACATTTCTAAAGGGAAGGAGTTAGAGCATGCAAGAGATGTTCTGAAAAGAATGAAGGACCTCCTGAAGATAGATAGCCAGAGCTCTGCAGATGTTCTGAGCCACATTCCCAAGCAGCCTCACTCGGTATGACCACTGGCGAGAGATTTGGGGAGTGTAGTTTCGTGGCATAGAGTTTTTAGAAGATATTGCTGTGGATTGGCCACTCTCTGCAAAGAAGGTCATGTACTGTATATAAAAGAAAAAAACATAGATTTAGCCTGTGGGGACACAAAATAGTACTGCAAAAAGCTGCTGTCAAATTGTTCTACGTCTATTCTCTTTTTTGGACAGAGGCAATTGGTCTGCACTGCTTCACTCCAGATTTGTATCAATTGCACTGCCACTGGAACAAGAAACCTCTGGGTTCTGGCCCCTTTCACAGCCTCTTGTACTGGATGGAGAGCAACAGCAGCAGCACAAGGTGACTAGATGGGCAAATGAACAGTACCTATAATGTTCTGTCCTATAATTTGTGTTTTTGCTCCTGCTCCAGGTACCATTCCAAGTAGCGTCCTTCAGTTTTCACATACATACGTATTGCTCCCCCCCCCACCTCCCCGTTCAATTGTTTCTGATTCCTGGGCAATGCCCAAACAAGTCCCTGCAATTTTCATGGCAAGGTTTTTCAGAAGTGATTTGCCATTGCCTCCTTTCTAGGGCTAGGAGAAAGTGACCAACCCAAGGTCACCAAGCTGGCTTTGTGCCTAGAACCCTTGTGCCTGGGTTCTAGCCTGATGCTTTAACCCAGGGGTGTCCAACCTTGGCAACTTTAAGACTTGTGGACTTCCAAGGTTGGACACCCCTGCTTTAACCATTACACCAAACTAGGCACACATGTGCAGGGATTGCTCTGAGTCATATTTGGTTAGCTTAGGTTACCAAGCAAGGTTACGAACATTTAATTAATGCAAATCCCACCCGACTTTCAAATGATTTTGGCTGCGTAGATTGTTCTCCTGTCTAAGTGATCAACGGTATTTAACAGCAGCAACCCTGGGAAATAGGTTAGGATGAGATGAAGAGACTGACTAAAGCTTACTGGACGAATTTCATTCAAGTTGAACGGCAAATTGAACCTGTTTCTCCAGTTCTAACATAGCAGTTAAAAACGATATCACATGACTCCTGCTTCTTGGTTGTTTGACTGTGACTGACTTTGTGCCACTCACAACAACCTCACCTATTTAGTGTTTACTAAGTCTCAAACCATCATAGGTTTAGGAGGCGGCTCTACTGCAATGTCTGTTTCATCTCTCATTTCTACATATCAGCCCTGGTAATGCGTCTTCTTCACAGGGCCTACATTTCAAATGGCCTATGACAATCAATAGAAGGGGATGGCGGCTGTTCAAAATTATAATGCAACAGGACCAGAGGTGGTATTCAGCAGGTTCTGACCAGTTCTGGAGAACCGGTAGCGTAAATTTTGAATAGTTCGGAGAACCGGCAAATCCCACCTCTGACTGGCCCCTCTCCCATCTATTCTCTGCCTCCCGAGTCCCAGCTGATCAGCCAGGTCTTCTTTTGTTGTTCTGCACAGGAGAATGGAACTGGGAAGCAGGTTAGTGGGGTGGGAGGGAATGGAGATTTTACAGTATCCTTCCCCTGCCACGCCTACCAAGTCATGCCACGCCCACCAAGCCACGCCCACAGAACCAGTAGTAAAAAAAAAATGAATCCCACCACTGAACAGGAATGATAAATAGATGGAATGATGGTAGCACTTTTTAGAATTTTTTACAACTTAGGGAATCTCACCAATCATATTCATTCCAATATGGTTAGTGGGATCACCTAAATTGAAAGGAAAGCTTAAACAGAACTTGGGGTTACTAACTGTCAAGGAAAGTGTAAGTGTGGTCAATAATTTAAGAACTGTTTAAAAGGCCACTTCAGATAGTTCTAGCAGACAACTCAACATCGTATCACTATTGTCCATTTTAATTTGCAGAGGGCAAACCTGGCACAAATGTAAGAAGGAAGACCCTGATTCCTGCACGTGCACCTTTCAGCCTAGTGACACTCAGTACCTTTCTATCCTGGTGACTATCAGCCAGAGTGAGCAAGAGGTCAGCTACTTTGAGGAGCCATTCAAACTGTACCATGTGGGTAAGAACCTTGAGCGTCTCTTGGCCTCAGCACCATCAGGACTTTCAGCTCCAAAGAGTGAGCTGACCTGGGCTGGTATAGCATCAAATGAACCTCAATATTAGAAAATATGGAACACTATGAATGTTGCAGGGGACCTCTGCTTCCACATGAAGCTAAGCTGACCTAACTGGCCACCTCTCTCCCTTTCTCCTGTTATAGTGCACACTGCTCCCCCAAGAATCCTGGAGGCTTCAATAGACAGAAATATACTAAGGCTGGAGTGGGCCTACCCATTAGAAGAAATAGCTGAACACATGGTATATCAGATACGGTATACGGTGCAGGACACCTTGAAATGGAAGGTATTTTTCCCCCAGCAGATATTCTTGTGATATCCAATTAGCGGTGCCAGATAGTTGCAAATAAATGCTTCTGTAATGCAAATTTAGAACTATGGCTTCCAAGCTACAAGAAATCGCTACCCTAATTTTTTTTTTTTTTTTACTCTGCAAGAACCAGCTGGAATGTTGTGTCCTATTCTGGAACCTCTATATCCTTCTTATATCACAAAAAAAGGTTACACAGAGTAAAAGGAGAGTGGGGATATAAGAGCATTCTTCATACAGTAGATCAAAGTTAAAAATTGTAAACATTTATTTTTCCAAGATTTATTACTGATACAATTGGGAGAAGCAATTCCACTGCTAAGCAATGTGGTCATTAAGCAATACATTGTGTGATCAAATAGGTTTATGGCATTAATTCTGTCACAGTTCTTGAGCAAATCACATGATTTGTTGCCTTCTGCATTGACTCTGCTTGTCGGGCTCTAGTTGTGAGGCACTCAAAAGGCAATCGCATGATCATGGGACACTTTGATGATCATTCAAAGCACCTGACTGTCAATCATGTGACTGCAAGGACACTGTGACCACCATAAGTGCCAACACCAGTTACAAAGTTATTTTTTCAGCGCTGTCATAACTTTGAGTCCCTTAAACAGAGCAGTCATTAAGCAAGGACTACCTGTAGCCTTAAATTACAAAAAGACTGGTTTCAATTGAAGATTTTAAAAAGCTTCTGGGCAGTAAAGGGCAGATTCATACCCCAATTCCTCAGGAATCAGGCTTATTATGATGTTAGTCTCTCAAGCTTAAGAAGCTATTATCTCCCAAGCTTAAGATGATATTAGCATAAATACCCTTGCTCCTATTTCATAAATAAAGGAAATTACTGTCACTTCCTCACATCCACATTTTTTTTCCAGTACCTGTATTTCTATGCAATAATCTAATGATTTGCAGAAAGGATTTTGGCTGTGAGGCAAATTTGCAATGGAAGGTTGATATAAAAAAATAAATAAATTTGGGGCACTGGGGCAGGAGTCCCCCCCCCCCAAATCACAATTAAGGCTGCAATTCTGGGATTGAAACCTTGTCTCTTTTTTTATGCATAACACACAAAAAGAGGTAGGGCCTCAGTCCACTCTTGTTTTACAGCCATTCATCTCTATTATATTTTTAAAATCCTATGAAATATATAGATGAAATACTAGCATGTTGCCAGTTTTGAACTGGGTACTTTGGTCAATAGCCATGACAATCGATACATCTTGATAAGTTCTCTAAACAATACTTATAGAAATAAATAAGAGAATTCCCAGAAACGGGACACCAAATCTCTCCAAACAAACTGATCTACTAGTGCTAGTCTTTAGAATGCATAGAAGAACGGATTGAATTCCTGGCCCAAGCAACAATGCCTAAATGGAACTTTTGCTAGAGAATGAGGTGAATGCATGCCATACTTTTGTATTTGGCTCAAGACACAACTAAGGCAACCAGAAGCATATGACAGCTTAACAAAAGAGGTTTAAAAAAGCTTAGGAATTTAAAAAAAACCTCCCCTTTTTCAAACATGCCATAACCTAAGGGATGACACTACTAAAATTTATGCTATAGTAAATGAATATGGGGAGCATCTCATACAGAGGAAAAACCATGACCCAGCCAGTAGAATAATAGCTAACTATTGCTATACAAATAATCCTCGGGTTATTGCACAATTGGGACCAGAATTTTCAATGGTAAGCAAGGCAAGTGAATTGCACTTGATTTTATGACCTTTTTGCTACGGTTGTTAAGCAAATTACTCAGTTGTTAAATGAATCAGGTGGCTGTGAAGCAAATCTGGTTTTCCCATTGACTTTGCTTGTTGGCAGTTGCATGGGAAAGCCACAAAGGGCAATCACATGACCCTGAGATGGTGTAACCATCATAAATACATGCCAGTTGCTAAGTACTTGAATTTTGATCACATGACCACGGGGCTGCTACAATTATTGTTAAGTGTGAGGATTGGTCACATGTCACTCTTTCCATTGTAACTTCCATCGCTAAACCAATGGTTGTAGGTAGAGGACCACCTGTTCTTTGGGGATTTGAAATCCAGGAATCTAATGAGTAGAGCACAGGTAGTCCTCAACTTCAGACCACAATTGAGCCCAAAATTTATGTCATTAAGTGAAAAATTTGTTAAGTGAATCTGTCCCATTTTACGACTTTTCTTGCCACATTTGTCAAGTGAATCACTGCAGCTGTTAAATTAGTAACATGGTTGTTAAATGAATCAGAGGTTGTTAAATGAGTCAGAAAGCCGCAAAATGACTCCTGAATACTAAGACCATCATTAATGAGTTTGTTGTCAAGCATCTGAGTATCAATCATGTGACCATGGGGATGTTGCAATGGTCATAAGTGTGAAAAATGGTCATAAGCCGCTATTTTCAGTGCTGTTGTAACTTTGAATGGTCACTAAATGAAGTGTTGTAAGTCGAGGACTACCTGTATACATGATGAGGTCATTTTCTGGGTAGATCCTACAGGTGCAGTACTCAAACACCAGTGAAATTCATCTGGCCACCCAAGATCGCTACTGCCTTCAGCTGCGTACCCAGCCAGATGGCCAGAAGTTCCGTGGGGACTGGAGCACCTGGTCAGAATTAGTGTGTGTTGAAGTCCCACCTGGTGCAGGTAAGCAACATCAGTGGTGTGTACTGGAGAGAGGTTGCTAGATAAGGAGAGAAAATATTCGACAAATGAAACAAAGACTGCTGAGCCTCAGGGAAAGAAGAGTCACAAATTCACCACCATGTGCTTCTACTTCAGATTCAGTGATTATGATCGTGGCCATTGCACTCTTGCTGTGTGCAGGACTTGTGCTGGGTCTGGGCTTCACCTGCCTCTCCAACTACAGGTAACTGAGATCTGTGCAGTTCAGCCATTGAACAAAAAACACAGTTTGGCATAGGTGTTGTTATTCTTTTGCAACCATCTGCGTTTTTGTTAATAGCAGTGTGAAACAAAAGCTCTGGCCAAGCATTCCAGAACTACATCATGTCCTAGATGGATTCTTCAAGGATAATGGCAAGCAGCAGCAGCAGGTGATACTTTCTTTTTATTGTATTACTTCTAATGCAGTAAGTCAGTAGAAGCAGAATTAGGCCATCTTTTAACTAGGAAAGAAGACCTTTTTAACTACTTCCGATATACTTTTTTTTGTGAGAATCTTGCCTCGTTCTGTGGGCATATTTTCCAGATTTTGGGAATAATATGAGCTAAACCATTTCTCACCTGACTTTTCCAAGATGCAGACTTTTTCAGTTCCATCCCATTTCTGAACTGTGATAATAGAAACAGTATTATGTACAGAAATAAATTGAGGTAATTTAGCTTGTGCCTAGAAGTCTTCCTGACTCAGATTACAGTACATGCTAAATCCTGGTTGGAACTTTTTGTGATTTTTAACTCTTCCTAGTTGGAGTTCACTGCTCTTTTATTGTCTTTCACATTGTTATTTCATGCAGATTCCCGTAAAGTGAATGTCAGGGAGGGAAGGGAATAATTCAGAGGCCCTTCTGAATTTCTGATTGTTTCTTTCTGAACTTTTAGGTAAATGCTTTATTTTTCAACAAAATGCTGGAGGATGTGCCTTTGACTTGCTTGTTGGAAGTACTATCTGACAAACCCCTGGAAACACCAAGCTTTGACACTTTGCTAGATATGGATTCAGCAGAACAGGCAGAATGGGGCAGCCGGCCTTCTTCCCATCAGCACTACATGGTGCTGAGTTCTAACAATCCCCAAAGCAGCCACCATAAAAACGAATACTTTGATGACAAAAATGATAATGGAAATGCTTTCCCACAGTCCTTGGAACATGATCTACACATAACATCAGAGCCAATGACCCAAATAATTCCCTTCACCTTGTTGAATGTACCATCAGAGATTAAAGAAGAAAGAAAGCAGGAAATGTCTGATGACCAAACCACATCTGTCACTGACATTTCAAACAAGACATATTTGCTAATGGGCTGATTATGTCTATCATTGGAGGACAGCACTATGAGAAATTATTAGGTCCTGTAGGAGTTTGCAATACAATACAGGCAATTTTCAGTGGTAAGGCAACTGTTTAGCCAGTACTCCTCAAATCTGTTTCTTATGGACCAACTGAATTGAGCAACTGCAGATAGGCCAATTTTTCATGAACAAAAGCTACCTTGAAATTTTGGAAGGCAATGATGCAAAGTGACTAGAACTCTACTCACACAGAGCTCACTTTTTCTGGTTTGAAAGGGGGGGAAATTACACTACAATGTTTCTATGTTTCTCTTTTCAGAATGGCAGGCAATCATACTGCCAAATTCTGGTAGTAATAGCCAAAGGGTACCCTGGTTGCTGCAACAGGATTTGAGGATCTGTGGCCTCAAATTACCAACCCAGGCATTGGGTTATGAGGTGGAGTTGAACGTGGTATTTTATCCCAAGACGTGTCCACGTTGCATCTCATAACCACAGGTCTCCAAAAGCAAAGTGATTCTTACGCAGCTGAGTCCCAGTGATTTGCATGTCAGCTAAAAAAACTCCAAAATTTTAAATGTTTTTTCCATTTTGAAGACTTATGCAAAGTATATTTTATGGAAATGATGAAAGAATTGTAGTAATACAACTGCTTAGCATAACCAGAAATAGAGGTAAATAGAAAATGTACATGCTGAGCACAAAAATACAATTTGTGAGATAAGCACCACTCTATGTTAGGTCACTGTAATATCAGATTTATTTCACTGATTTTAAATATGACCTGTACAGATTAGGATTCGCTGTTACTATTTGCATTGCCATGGTTGCTTGTAAACAAATGTAATGTTATTTGAATAATGCAACTGCTGTGATTCATGGTAATTAAATGAACTTATTTTTTTCATGAGGATCAAATTTAGGTATTCACACTGATTTACTACCGTTTGTAGTGTCATAAAAGCACTTCTTACCATCTCCAGAGAGGTTTCACCAACCTTTTAAAATTCATTTTGCTTTAAAAGTAGGATAATGATGACCCAATTTTTAATGGAAACGCACATGGAGTAAAGGATAAGTAAATTCTGCTGGCTTACTCTAGCCAGGACAAGAGGTACTTCTGTTTTGATGCTTCCTTGTAGCAAACAAATTAGGTGCCTAAAATATATAACACAGCAGTAATTAATGGCACAGATTCTGGGCTTCTCAGAAGTTGGGTCAAACTAACATAAAGCCTCAGAGGGCATTACATAAGCTCTACTGTTGATAGAAAGGCCAAAGAAAGGCCAAAAACAAAGGGTATTTTTGAATGAAGCAAATGGTCAGATGAATCAGTGTTGTAGTCAATGAGATGACCATAGCCACCTGCCATATATGTGAAGAAAACAGGGAAAAATACAAACAGCAGCTATTTGAAGATGTCACTGTATATATCACTTTTATAATAAAATGTCAGCTAGAGAGTTGGAGATGCCAATTCCAATGCCAGGTTGAAGATATTATATTGAATATACATGTACTCTCTCATCACTTGAAAGAGAGGTTGAAGCGAGGAAAGAAAATAAACTGGGATCTGAGACTGCATACTGTAAGTACTTCTCATTTTCCTTGTATAAAGGTATATTCTGTTAGAAGAATGGCAATTGTATCTAGTGTAATAACAAATAAACCAAAATTTTCTCCAGTGGAATTGTCCCAGAAATGTATTTATTGATTTCAGAATATAAAGGTAAAAAAACAATATAAAACCAAGCAAAGGCAAGCAAGGAGCAATAACCCCTCATTCACAGGCATTAACGATCTAATAAGCCATTGCATGGACTCCATCCCACCCTGGGGTCTCCAGGCCCGTTGGCAAAGCCGTGTCTTATGAAAAAGTGTCAGAGAGGAGACCAATCATCTCTGCGGAGACGATGTTTCACAGAGAAGGAGTCACCATGGAGAAGAACCTTCTTGGTCCCAGACGGACCTCCTTCCCTGCCTTCCTGTTCTAGTGGATCAGGTAGATTTGATTGGGAAAAGATGGTCCTTAACCGGATCCCAAGCCATATAGGGCTTTGAATTCGCAACCAGCAACTTGGACACCAAAGCAAATCAGTAGCCATTGCAGTTCCCACAGATGACGACACATAAGCACATCTAGGCCTGCACCAAACTATGTACGCCATTGCATTTTGAACCAGTTGAAGCTTCTGGATATTTTTCAAGGGTGTTTCAATATGGAAGGGAGGTAACTAGGGCATGGGAGACTATGAGCAGGGATTGTTGGTCATAATTGGCACCCAACCTGCATTTACCCAAAGGGTCTCCTGGTCAAGATTGCCACCTGCTCTTTGAGCAAGAGTCATGATGTTGCAGGAAATTACGAGACTCAGAGCTTGGAATCCAAAAATAAGTTGGTTTTATTTGCGCAAACAGGTTCAGATTATTTTAGTGAGAGTCACTTCTGAACAAATTTCTTATAGAACAGCACATGCCTATATACTTCTTCAGAAGGGGCAAAACACAGAAATATAACCTGTCAGTCATTCATTGGTTACTTGAAACACAGCTTTCCACGTCCCCTGTTGCTAGGCTAGGATGGCTGGATGTCACAATCCCATCTTGCTAAACTCCCTAGCTTGTGGTTTTGTTACAAGCGAGACAAGGTATCTTGGCAAATATGACTTTGTGACCGATAGATGATCCTTGTGGTTTGGCTTTTCACACTTCCTTGTTCTTTCTCTTGCTAATACCACATATTTCACTATCTATAAAACTTGTATCATTCTTTCTCTAAAATTAATATATTTTTATGTCCTGCCTTAATGAGAGTCCAGAACTCCCAGATTACATTGAAATTTTGAAAATGAGGTTTGAAAAATGCATCCAAGATGAAGGGAAGTATCAAAAGTACTAATCAAAGCACAAAAGGCAGAACATGGGAGAATTTTTATAAGAGAATTCAGAATAAGGTTTTAAAACGTAACGTATACTGTAGCAAGTAATAATCCTTATTTGAACTACAACTTTCAGCATCACTATCAATCCTGCTAGCAAAAGCACCCTGGAAATAATCCAGCAACATCTGAAGGACTGCAGGGTATCTGCCTCAGAGGATTTTTTTTTGTTGGGATCCATTTTTCAAACAGCTGAGTTCAAAACTGCATTTGCTAAACATCTTTCCTACTCGGTATTATTTAGATCTTTCCTGCACACAGAGGGTGCAGATGCTGATGCTATTTGGTCACCAACAAAACAGTTGAACAAACTGACTTTCTGAATTAAAAATCTATTATAGGTCTCCATTTTAGGACATCATTTTGTTCCTTGGAAAACTGGAACAAAATGTAGATTTATTACAACCAGATTAAGGCTGGAGACCCACAACCTGAGCGCAGATGAAATCCACTAACTACAGCAGCGAGGCTCATCTATGAGAGGATGTGCAGTATTGTCTGGTATAAGGTCTCATGAAAACGAGTCTGCTTCCATAAATCTTGCAATTATGTTTAAGAACGCTCTTTTCTGGTCATATAATCTTTTCTCCGATTTTACCACTCTAATGCCCAGCAGAAAGGTTTACAGCAAGGGGTTCCCCAAACTTGGCAACTAGAAGATTTGTGGACTTCAACTCCCAGAATTCTCCAGCCAGCTATGCTGTTAGCTAGGCTGGCTGGAGAATTCTGGGAGTTGAAGTCCACAAGTCTTAACGTTGCCAAGTTTGGAGACCTCTGGTTTACAAGTTATAGTTTAGCAATCAAACAGAAAGCTATCCCAATAACTTCTTGCGGCTTCCGTTTGACCTGCCTCTCCTTTAAGCATCGGGCCAAAACCGTTTGCTTTAGAACGTTGAATATTTTCATTAGAGCGTCAAGCGCCATGGAAACGCTCCCCCCTCCCCCACCCCGCGCCGAACATCGGCCGAGACCTTTTTCACGCCACTTCCCCCGTTACGACAATTGTAAATCATAAAGGAACCCGCCCAAGGCAACTTAAACCATCCAGGGAAACGTTGGGTTGACAAAAGCCACGCCCACTTCCATTCGAAGGGCCAATGGACGTAAAAAGGAAGGCGGGGGAGCCGTAAGTCGTCGGGCGGACGTTAAGTTCGAAATGGGCCAATCGCTGATCAAAGTGGGAAGTTTAAATCCTGAATGGCGGAAGGAGCCGGGAGAGTTGGAGTCAGAGCAGCGGTAAGTGAGAGAGGTTCCGCCGACCCGAATTTGGGTTTTTCTTCTGGTTCTCGATTTCTTCCCGTCCTCTGCCCAATATTGGTTTTCCTGCCCAATATGTCTTGTAGTGTATTTTGCCGCGGTGCACGAGATGCACCCTCCCCCCCCACATCACCCCCAGTGCCAGAAACTGACCCGGAAATTGTATGAGGAAGAAAAGCGGACTGCTTTCAATCAAGCAAACGTATCGCAGGAAGAGAAAATATCACTATATTGTCTTATTGCGATACGTTTGCTTGGTTAAATCTCCAGAAGATAAACCGTTGGGTTACAAAGAGAGCTCCACCCTTTCGCCCAGATTGTGGGGCCTTTGCGGGAGGGGGAAAAAAGTCAGGTAGAAAGCAAAATATGAAAGAAAAGGAGCATGGTCTTTTCTTGCCACTTGTGCTTGTAAGGACCGCATCCAGTCACCTGAATCTTATCTGGTTTGTTATATTCTGGAATAAGGTTTGTGAACCTATAGCCATCCTGTGGATGCAGATGACTCCATTTTCCTGATGTTCTTGTCTTACTCTCCTTATCCGAGATCAACTTACTTCTTCCCTGGCTCTGATTCCACAGCACGGCATCCCTATGGCACAGTTCCTGTTTGAGAGTGATTTGCATGGGCTGTTGAAATTTGAAGTCCCAAATGTACCCCCTGCACGATGGCAGCGGAAGGCTAAGGAGAGTGCTGCTCCCAGCACTGGAGCTGCCTCAGATGCCATAGCTCCTTCGCCTATGAAACCAGCTAACAGGCCTCATAGTACCAGCAAGACTCCTTCCAAAACACCAGGTAAGATGTGTTTTATAACCAGTAGGTAGATAAACATCACTGTATGTGATGAAATCAGACATCAAGTGCCAAATCTTTGGTCTCTTCTATTTGTCCAATTTGTTTTCCAGTGCTGGAGATAAACGTTCATGTTTTTCTTAATGACATAAAAGATTCTTGCTCTCAGGCTAGCAATTACCTGAGGGGGATACAAATTAATGAAATCTCTTGTTTTGCAGGCAAGTCTGGTTCCAAATCACAAAATACTCCAAACAAAACTGGAGGTGATAGATACATCCCTAATCGTAGTGCTATGCAAATGGATGTGGCCAATTTTCTCCTAACCAAAGAGGAATCCTCTGAGGAGACACCCACCAAGAAGGTAAAGAGTTTAAATGTCTGGTACAGTGAGGGTCACACAAGTGTGTACTTACTGAATTCTGTGTGATCAAGTACAGTATTATTGATTTCTTACAGTGTTTTTCCCCCTTCCAAGGAGCATCAGAAAGCCTGGGCAATGAACCTTAATGGTTTTGATGTAGAAGAGGCAAAAATCCTGCGACTAAGTGGGAAACCTCAGAATGCCCCTGAAGGTAAATCTGCATTGGGCTTATTCAGCACAAGAGTAAATTGAAAAGTGAAGTGACTGGTGAGTTTCCAGATGCATCCCTTCTGGATAAAAGCTCCTATCAATAATAGCTGGCTTCTAAACTGGTGTTGCAGCAATGATCCATAATCCAGTTCATTCAAATTTATTCCATTGTTCTGGTATGTTTTGTTTTCATGGGAATTAGTCTAGGGATGTTCAATTAGCAAGCTGATTATAATTTTTTTTTACAAACTTGTTTATCATTTGTTTCAAGTGGCTATTTAGAACCACGTTGGAAAAAGCTGCCTTTTTGCATTTTCTGAATAAAGGCAGCGATGCTAATTTGAATTAGTTTGTTCAGTTTATTCAAAATAGAACAAAACTTGACTTTCTCATAATGCAATCCTTCACTGCCTTAGAAAATGAACTCTATGGTATTTTGCATTTTCTCTAAAGTATTATCTGTTGATATGTTAAGGTTGATGTCTCTATTGAAAGAAATCCAGTTAGTGCCTTCTAAATGGAGACTCCCATTTCCCCAAATTTCCATTGACTGTGTTAGCTTGGAATTATAGGGACATTGAGTTTTTCCTTGATTTATGCTGATAATTATGTTACCTCTTTTCCAGGATACCAGAACAATCTCAAAGTGCTCTACAGCCAGAAGAGCACACCAGGGTCCACAAGGAAGATAAACAGATACATAGCCTCAGTGTCAGAGCGGATACTAGATGCCCCAGACATTCGAAATGATTACTGTAAGTAGCCATGGATTTGGAGTTTTAGTGAGGCTTTGTTCCAAAGTGCAGAGACCTATCTCCTCTGCCACATTACAGCTTCCTTTGAAAGAATTATGCCCCCATATTGTATGGGATATGGCTAATATGGAGGTAGGAAGGGGTTGTATCTTGACTCAACTTGGCTTTGTTTCCAAACTAGTGTGTATTCTCATTTAGATCTGAACTTAGTTGATTGGAGCTCCCTCAACTTTTTGGCTGTGGCTCTGGATAAATCAGTCTATCTATGGAATTATGATTCCAGAGAAATAATCCAGCTCATGCAAATGGAAAATCCTGATGACTACATCTCTTCTGTTTCATGGATCAGAGAAGGAAATTACCTTGCAATTGGCACAAGTAATGCTGAGGTCCAGGTGGGGCAACTAAGGTTGTATTTAATGACCTGATATTCTGGTAATGGGACAGAGAAGAATAAAAAAAGTCTTTTAATATTAAAGCAAGTTCAATTCTCTTTTGGAGGGAAACCTGAGAGATATTTGATTTTTAAACCAACATGGGCTTGTTACATTTTGGATTGGAAAACTATGAGCTGCTTCCTTTGATAGTATGACCATGATTTGATTGATTGTTCATTTCTATATATCTGAATTAAAATATGTTTATAACAAGTGGGACTGCCTTGTGCATTTTCTCACTTGAGCTGTATTCCATGAGACAATAAAAATAAGGTTGGGTATTTGGATTCTTTGTTTATATTGATTTAGTTATGGGACATCCAGCAGAAAAAGCGTCTACGAAATATGGTCAGTCATTCATCCCGTGTGAGTTCTTTAAGTTGGAATAGCTACATTCTGTCCAGGTAATAGTTTCTAAGCAATATATCTCATGGGTACTGATGGGGAAAGAAGCCATGTGGCTTATAATTTTTCATAGTGAAGAAATATATCACATTGGCCTTCTGGTACATTTGATATAGGTGACTATACTAATTTTTCCTTATAGTGGATCACGGACTGGTCACATACATCATCATGATGTCCGTGTGGCAGAACACCATGTGGCAACACTTGCTGGTCATACACAAGAAGTATGTGGGCTAAAATGGGCACCTGATGGCCGTTACTTGGCTAGTGGAGGCAATGACAATCTCGTAAACATATGGTCTATTGCTCAAGGGGACAACTGGTCACCACGTCCTGTGCAAACTTTTACACAACATCAGGGAGCTGTTAAGGTGAGTATATATCTGTAGAGAGTAGACATACATCTTGGTACAAAATTATATGGTATAAACCTCAATGGTCATTTGGATAGCTCTTTAATCAAGTTCCACAGCTTACAGTGTGGTCTGAATCCAATCCATGGCAATTTAGGAATTGCCATGGCAATCTTGGAAACTGGAATTTGTAATACAGTAAACAGATCTTGATTGTAGATGTGATGTTTGAAGTCCAAAATGGCAGCTTAAGTTCCGACACCAAAAGAGTGACAACAGTTTGTAAAATAACCATGACAAGAAATTAAAATAACATTTTAATAAGGCTTCTTAAATGATATGTAGTCCTTATTTAGCAATTGCCTCATTTATCAACCATTTGTAGTTTTGACTAATGAAAAAGTAACTTTATGACCTTCACAGGTCTGTAAAACAAAGGAAAACTGAAGTTAAGACCATAAGCACAATTGCAATTTCACTTAGCAATCTCTTTGCTTAATGGCCCAGTTGCCTCTGCAAAAATGAGGACTATCTATAGTTTGCAAACACAGTATTTCTAATCATGGAGAACGGTGACAATAGTACACTTTCCCCCTTAGGCTGTGGCTTGGAGTCCATGGCAATCCAATGTGCTGGCTACAGGAGGTGGAACAAGTGATCGCCACATAAGGATCTGGAATGTGTGCTCTGGGAGTTGCCTCAACACAGTAGATGCACAGTCCCAGGTAGGTTTGCTTAATACATTTCAAAAAAAGTAAGGATTATTTCAACACTTTAAATTTAACATGCTGAATTTTTCCACGTAAGGTTATATCCAGTCAATATTTTACTTATTGGACACTTTTTCTGGTGTTAATAGGTCTGTGCAGTACTATGGTCTACAAACTATAAAGAACTTGTGTCTGGTCATGGATTTGCTCAAAACCAACTGGTAGTGTGGAAATACCCATCAATGTCAAAGGTCACTGAGTTGAAAGGTAAGTTTTTTTATATAATTACAGGACACTGATCAACATAAATCTTAAACATATTTACAAAATTGTCCAAATTGTCAACAAACTCTTTCCACAGGGATAGACTACAAGCTAAGGACTATTTTCTTGTCTGGTAAATTGATGTTTTAAATTTGGTTGTGCTCACTGTAGCAGCTGTTTTGTAAATGCATGAAAGCTTTTGTTTTGCTCCTAAACACAAATGTGTCAGTGGTCAAAATGATATCTTTTCCTGGGTTGGATTAGTTTAATTACAGGTTATGGTGGTCTATTCCACAAAGAAAAATGCCTATGCCAACTCGAATATATTACCAACTATCACTTACAGTCATTTGTAAAATATCTTTCCTTAGGTCACACTGCTAGGGTGCTAAGCTTAACTATGAGCCCAGATGGAACCACAGTTGCTTCAGCAGCAGCAGATGAAACACTGAGGCTTTGGCGCTGCTTTGAGTTGGACCCAGCACGTAAGAAGGAGAAAGAGAGCAGTACTAAAACCAGCATTATCCATCAAGGAATTCGCTGAGTTTCATCCAACTCTCTTCCAATCTATTGCTTTATGTACAGAATTTTAAACTATTAATAAATATTTCACTCTCCTTTAGAAATAGTGTTGGTATATGGATTGATATATGAATCACAAATGGTGTGAATGACTTTAATTGATATTGGCTTGTTTGCTAGAACTTGGCTTGTATACCATTGTAATAAAAATAAACTATTGAAGGAAAATAAAGACTAGACTCTCCTGATACAATCGATAACGTACCTTCTCTAAATCATTGTGACAGCTTTTATCACTAGGCAAATTGACTATAATTTAACTTCCCTCTTCCACCCCTCTTGAGTTGTGGGACGGATTAGGTTTCAGAATTTAGATTTAACCTGAAATATTAATTTGGGGTTTGAAATATGTGTTCAAGTCACAGCCTTGATGCAACATCCTGTTACGGAGCAACAGTTTTATTAAAAAATACATAACAGAATTTTTCTTCCCAACTATTTTTACCTTACCAAATAAACAGATATTGTAAATTTGCTTAGCTGAACCCAGTAATTTTACTGAACTATTTGGACTGATATTTAAGACTGTTCTTCCAAAACCATTTTCTCTGAAATCAACCTCAGCACTCCTGAGAGTTAATCTTTCCACTCCTTTGTTATTTTTTGTACTTCTTTTAAACTCAAGACATTCTAATATCCCAAATGCTGGTGGGTGAGTCTAGTCCTTCTGTAGGTTTTTTTTTTTTTTAGCCTCAATCAAATCAACTGTAACCCAAACAATCCTACAAATGATTTTACTGCCTACTGGTTGAGTGGAAACTGAAAAGCCAAACCAATCAATCAACACCAATATTAGCCTCAACTCATCGTCACCTCTTTTTAAAGATTCTTGGGGCTTATGTAAAAAATGCTGAAAATGATCTGTTATTAAATAATCAAAATGACAGACATTATTAAGAGAATTGCCATTTTGGCAGATAAAATCTGTAGTGTAACTATTTTGACAATTGGTTGGGAGTTGGGCAGTGTACAAATTTAATAAAATGATGCAGTAAGATTATAATTCAGATTACATGAATAAAATACATTTTAATAAAGATTCATGAGTTGGTCCTTCATCAATAGGGCAAATAAAGCATTAATATTTCAGTCTTATTTTGAAGTGTAGCCTATTACAGTTATCTTATGAAATCTATCCATAGTTATAACTTAGTGAAGTTGCTTGTGCCCAAGGAGGTGTAAACACTTCTCTTCCCATATGTGATAAGAGTTCTCATGGATTTCATGTAGGTAGTTCCTGACTTAGGATCATTTGAGCCTGGAATGGGTTCTTTAGGGCCTGTTAAGCATGTCTGCCCCTCACAAAATATGCCATATACAGCCTTAGTCACATGATATTTTGGGTGCTAGGCAACTGGCTCAACTTTGTGATCAACTGCAATATCCCAGAGTCATCTCAATTTGCTAATTTTCCCTGCAAAAACACTCATGCTGAGGAACAGGTTCACACGACCAGTGTTCACTTAACAATTTGTATAATGATGGTGGTGATTTATTTAATGACCACAAAAAATGTAAAATTGAGTAGTCACCGAGTGCCTCCACCTACAACCATGATAATTTATGACCGTAAATCAATCCCAATCATACTTGTAAGTCAAGGACTACCTGAATGTCTACAACACTAGTCCTGTAGCAAGCTGAGACTATTGAAGCCTTAATTAGTCTTAGCAAACAATTCTACCACCTACTCATTCAGAAAACTGCAGATAATCACACTCAAAATGTAGAGCAGTTAACTGTACATCCTGTTTAGAAGGCACATGGCTATTCAAAAATGCACCACCATCAGAAAGTCACTAGGACAGGGGTGTCAAACTCACATCGGCAGGGTGGCATCATGTGACATTGGGACTTTTTCCCCCTTCACTAAACCAGGCATGGGCGTGGCCAGCATGTGACATATCTGGCCCATGGGCCAGGAGTTTGACAGCCCTGCACTAGGGCAACATGACTCTTTATTTGACAAGTACTAAAATCAGCACTTGCAAAAAACGCTGAAAAAAATAACACTCCATAAGGGCCTGTTCATTAGATTTCATGTGAACCAATGATTCTTAGGACAGAAATTAACTTCAGGCTTATAAAAAGGGGCATTTTAGAATGAGTAAGCTATACTGCCTAATTTGGAACAGTGTCACTGTTGATTTTTCATCACCCTTGCATGATTATCATCAAATATTGATCCATTAAGTACAGCAAAAAATGTTGAGAGCAGGCACACATATAGGAGAACAAACAAGAATCTTTTACTTTTTCCAAATTGTACCCCTAAGTATCCTCTACATTGTAAAAGCTTCTCAGTCAAACATTGTATCAGTTTTAAAGGTTGCTATTAGCATTGGTTTAGGGTTTCTCAGACACAGATGGAGAAACAGTACACAACAGGACAATCAGCGGTGGAAAGGTAAGTAGTGTTACAAAACCTATTTCAACCTAACAGTGAACTTTGCTTAAAGGCTTTTAAACAAGATTGCCTTCTTTCAGAATGGCCAGTGAATGTATCAAAATATTCTGGGTTATACAAATCTCTCCAATAGTATATACAGCATTGTTTATGGCACATAATCTAGATTCTGGGTTAGTCTACCCCAGCACTGAGGTAGAGAAGACCAATACAAGTTTATTCTAACAACAAAAACATATTCTTAGTGCCTTAGCTTTTTATATTCACCAATATATCCTTGCTTTCATATTTTGGCACTCTGAATTTAGGATGCAATACAGATCCAAGATCTGCTACTAAGATTACTTTTCCAATTTATTCTGTTGCAGAATTATTTTGTACTCCCCACACACAGTATTTGTAGCTTTTTCACTTATTACACTCAACCTGACCATAGGCAATAGCACCAAGGACTACAGGTCTCTTCAAGCCCAGGATAATGCCCAGTAGCTGGAGTTTCACCAAGAACCTAAGCCAGTACACACAGGAAAGCATCTGGCCTGAAGGAGTGTCCATATAAGGAGAGAAATTAACACTGTCCTGCCTGGAACAGCAGACAGGACAAGCAAGAGCCAAGGACTTAAATGCTGCATGGAACTTTGAGTTGAAGGTATTCTATAGACCCATAAAACTAGGAAAAATTGAATTTGCAATTCCCGTGTTCTTGAGCAGAAATAATCTGATGCCTGACACCATGTACTGTGGATGAGCCAGGACAGAGCCACCACTCTTCACAGGATTTTGATTTCAGTTTTTCAGCTCCTCTCATCTAGTAAACCAACTTCAACTAAGACACCAATTCATTGCAAGAAGCAGTAGTCATTGGAACTGAAAATCAATATTAACATAGTACTTATAATAAAGTTCTTTTCGCACATCAGGCCCAACCAACAATGAGCAAGGCCTTGAAATCAAGAACAGAATGACTATTCTTTTTCTATCCATTTATTTCTGTGAATACAAATGGAAAATTCAGGAGGGATATACCTCCTCTTGAGAAGTCCTCCCCCAAATTTAGATTATAGGGAGCCTCTGTTCTTTGGGGCAGATTCAATAATATTTTAAAAGGCACACAGAGCAATGGCATACAAGCTGAACAATAGGGTCCTATTTCTTCTCCCTGGGCCTCAGTGCAATAAGAGCTTGCAGTCATCAAGCCATATGGAGATTGAAGTCCAGAGTTATTGCTAAGGTCCTGGGATCAAAGCAGCTAAAGCTGCGGAGCAATGCCAAGAGAGGAATACAGCCAAGGCAATAAGACTTGCCTAGTAGTACCCCATCTGCACACAGAGCAGGAACAGTTTATCTCCAGGAGGAATTATTTCCCACCCCCAGCAAAAAGGGACTTACATTCAAGTAGGAAAGGAGTAGGAATGGCAGAACACAGAGAAATAACAAATGACAACACAAACTTAGGGAAAGCAAAGTGACAAAAATCCCCACCTAGATCACATTGGGTACACAGAATTAAGTGGATAAATGTGTCCCATCTGTCAGGGTTCTGCTTTGGTCCAGCTCTGAAGGAAGCCCAGCCCAGGGCAGACATAGGCACTTTGGAGGCCTTGGGCTGGATTCAGCACCGCCAGCCCAGGCAGCCTGTCTCCCTTGGGGAAAGATGAAAGCAAGACGAGGGAAACAGGGCAGTTGGGAAGGTGGTTTGGAACTGCAAGATAACAGTCTGTAGGCACTTGATCTGGTTAAGAAGCCCAGATATGGAGCTAGTTGATTCTACCCTTAGTTGGCTTTGACTTTGCCATTAGCAATGGCACCATTCTCGTGGAAGCCATTTTGCTGAGGTTGTGTCATGAACTTGGGCAGACGCTTGCCTTTGGTATATGACTGGTACCAGAAGTTGGAGAAGAGAAGGAAGAAGAAAACTCCATAAATCCAGATGAGGTGGATGAAGATTGGGAACTGATATTTGCAGTCAGGAATGAAGTAGTACTGGGAGATGTGGATGGAGACAAACACAAACTGCAGCTAGAAACAGAAACAAGGCAAAGATTAAATAAGTAAAGGTGATAGGTGGAGCTCCTTCTACTCACAGGCAATGATGGGAATGGAAGAAAAGGGAAATCTCAACATAGGCAACAAATATCAAATTAGGTTATAAAGTTTCTATAATTAGCTATTCAAAAGAAACAGAATCAGACAAAGTGACCAAAGATGGTTTGTACAAATGAATAAAAAATGCTGGCATAATTTCCCTGTCTTTTTCCCTTTGTTACTTACTAGTTGAATGGCAGTGATGTACTTCTTCCACCACAAGTACTTTTGGAAAGCAGGTCCTGCAGCTGAGAGCGCATAATAGAAGTACATCGCAACATGTACCATACAGTTCACCATAGCATGGAAGGAGCCCATTCCTCCTGTAGAGTAACACAGAAAAGGAGAAAGGTAAACAAGTGAGGATGAATGACATAACTAAACCTTACAGTCTATATAAATATTAGAAAAACAAAGAAAATTCATTTGGGGCACCTGGATCATGATCAAAATGGTAAGGAAAAAAAATGTCAGTAATTTGTATTCAGCAGATGCCATCAAACATTTTTGCCTGTTATTAGTGTCATGCAGTCGCAGCCAAAATGGCGTCTGCTGGCCCCGACGATCAGCTGTGGAGAGCTGTGATTGCAAATGCCCGCGCTGGAGTTACCTGGGTGAGCCAAAAAGTGCTTTCTGCATGTTGCTATTGTTGGCTGGGGCTCTAGGGCGCACCCCCCCACACAAGGGTGGGAGTTAGTTATAGAGCTGCTGCTCTATGTCAGGCTGGTTTGGGCCATTATTGATGGTTCAGGGAAGCTGCATGATAACAGGGCAAGAAGAATAGACTTAGAAATCCTTCTGCTGCCTGTCTTCTATCCTTTTCAAACCTTTTGGAGAATGCACACTTCAGATTGAATGCTGCTTTGCAAAAACACGGAGCCAACCTTTACCACATCTCTATTGGGCCAAGACTGAGTCATGACTGGGGGCTTCCTGGCCCTGAAAGAAAGATGCGTGGCAAAGATTGATGACTCAGTCTGTGGACAGAAAGGCTAGATCCGTGCTGGCGAACCTATGCCACACGTGCCGGAAGTGGCACGCAGAGCCATTCCCCCTAGCACGCAAGAGGTCACCTGGAAGAGTCCCACTTGCGTATGCGCATGTGCACCACCACCAGACAGCTGATTGTCGGGTATCTGGCATGCATGCACAGGGGGTGGAGGGGGGGTGCGCAGGAGACGCGTGTGCATGTGCAGTCCTGCATTCTAATCACTGCATAATCATAGCTCTTCAAATATATGAAATAGCTAGGACTTGATGACAGAAAAATAAAAGAAGAGTTTATTTTAAAATCTACATATATCAAAACAGAAAGGTTTGAAAAGATTCAGGACTTCTACTATCCAAACATGACTTTAATGAAGAAAGCAGATGAGGGCAGATAGTTCAAAGTCCAAAACTGTCTTCTTGTTCCTGTAATATCCTGGATAGCCAAACTATATATTCAAGTACATATACCTATAATGAGAAGACACATATACTTCATGTATTCATGAGATACCATATTATAAAGAGACATATCTGAAAATATGTATGAATACAATTTTTTCAAATCTTGGAATCAAGTTCTAGAGTAAATCCCCCTTTAAAATCTCACCTGGACCAAATTTCACACCCCACCACCAGCTCCAGGGTAGCACTGAGTGGTGGAAAACATGCAGAAAGGTCACTTGTTCATTCTTTTTTCTTAGGATAAAGATCACCTGGAAACAACAACGCACTGTGAGATGTAGGTTTCAGGTTTTGGCTAGTGGCATATTTATACAGATGTTCTGATTCATCTATACTGATCCATCTATACCAAATCTAAATTAGAGAAAAAAGACCACAATGCAGTCCTCAAAATATGGCCATGAAATTACTGCTACACAATCTTTTAAATATAACTGTATTTATCAGAACACATACAGCCCGACCTACCCAGAACATCCTGCTGCATAAATGCAGCAAAGTGTGTAAAGATTGACCACTATAATTTTATAAGAATACAAAAGCTGGAAGAATAAGTAGACTTGAGTGGCCACCATCTAAAGATACTGGGTGAAAAGCAATTATGCTTTAACTAGAAAAATAGGATCGATCATAAGAAGTCCAGAGTCACTTACTGTATCCATCAGCTCAATGACTTTAGAGAAAATGAAGATCCATGCCACACGGACCATCTAGAGACAAGATAAGTGTCTTTTTACATTCTAGCCATCACAAAATTAAAAACCCATCTTTCCCTCCACTTTTCTCGCCCTTTATAGTCTCCCTTCTCAATTCTCTTCTTAGAACACCTTCACCAAAGGCTGTATTAAAAAACTAAAGAAAAGAAACAGAACATGTAAAAGAAACATAGGAGTACAGGCAGAACAAAGGGAGGACAAGACAGGAAAACGAAAAACAAGCTTACCCGAAGAGCCCTGGGATCCTGGGATGTATCAATAGGGTCACACCTCCATGTATAACCATTTAGCCAGCCTGACATTAAAAACTACCCAAAAAAAAGGTATTAGAACTCATCATTCCCAGTCCTCTTCTTCATTAAAACTACATTCCAATAACATCACAGTTCATAACAGCTTTCTTTTCTAGGTCTCATATGCTAAGCAGGGTCAGACCAAACATTACAACATTTTCAAATAAAGATCAATGCATTTAATAACTAATATGCACATGTCTTTTTACTTGAGAAATTTTACTTCAAGTATTTTTAGTGAAGCAATGTTTTTTTCATATACTGCTACAATGCAAGCATTATAGACTTATTTTGAATTAACACCGAAGCAGATTTTTAAGATATAATTGTCATGTACTATATTTATCTCACTGAACAATACTAACTGATATAATTTGGAACAAAGAAAATGAAATATCAGTAATAACATTGTATTCTTCCATATCAAGACAAATCCCATATGTTATTCTACTTGGGAAAATGTGCATTCACAGTGAAACATGAAAGGATTCAGGGAAGTCATTCAGCATAACAGCTGGTAAAAATATGTGATCTTGTACGATAGTGGCCTATTAGTATAAATTCTGCTATCAACGTATAAAATGAGTTTGAATATTGACTATTAATAATTATTTACTGTTACAATGTCATTTGTACCATTCCTAGTACAAAATTTCAAAATTCATGGAAATAAGCCCCCTGTATTGCATCATATTTTTAATACCTACTATCTCAAATGTAAAACAAATGCTCTCATTTTGAGAAAGCATTTCTAGGAAGTTTGAAGAACCTGAAATTTTCTGTTGAACTAAATCTTCTACCTACCCAACTTTCACTGATTTGTATGTTTTAGGATAACTTTTTACATATTACAGAAAAGTAGTGAGGGCAAGTATAAATATTTCTATTTTCCTTGCTTATAGGTTCTAGATGTGAAAATGTTGCATCTGTCTCTTTCATAGAGAAGTTGTGTCTAAGTAAGAAAGAATAAATCTTTCCAACTTACTGCTAAAGCAGATAATTTGAACATGCAATAAATAGTGAGCTAGTGTGCTTTCTAGTCAGAAATTTGTGTTTTTTAATATAATTATTATATACAATTTAAATGTATGCTATATATTTAAAAACAAAAATAGGGGACTGCATTTTTGCAAAACTTTTAGAATAAGATAAAAGTTTCATATCTCTTTTCTGAACTCAAACTGTTTTAGATATGCAAAAGTAGAAAGAGACCTTGAAACTGATGTTGGAGAATCAGTGTAAGTAACAATTGTATATCTAAGAGCTACAGATAAAATTTAATACAGGGAGAAGCTTACCTCATAAACAATATAAATTGATAGTGCCATCAAAAAAGAATTATAAAGTATCATGAACTTCTTAAGGTTCACAGGTTTCCTGTTGGCCATGAGCCGTGGCCCCAGTGATAATACAAAATAGGCATAACCCAATAAGATACCCATCATAGGCCAAGGAGAATCCATAAGTGGATATGAAGCAATCCGAGGGTCTGTGAAAAAAAAAAAAATAAGGATCTTGCAATACATTAAATCTTTTGTTATCAGTAGCCAATGTACCTGGAGTAGATGCGTTTTAGGGATAGTGGTATTTAAAGATTGTGAATCCTTTTGAAATTTGAACACTTCTGCATAAATATGACCTAAAACATGATCACTTATCCACACAAGTACTAAAACTACATAGAGAAAACCAAATTAAACAAATAAGACAAAAACATTATACTTGTTGATTGATTTATTGAGGAAAATGATCCAAAGCTACATATTTGAATGTGGTAAAAGTATGTGAACTTTTGGAGGATTTATTTCAGGGGGAATTAAGAGTCAGGCATTTCAGTTAATGGGACAATAATCAGATGAAAGGGTAGGAGTTCTTGCCTATTGAAAGAACAGAATTAGGGATATTCATTATCAAAGAAATTATCAAACTTTCCAAAGAGTTTGGACTCCATCAGTCCATTTTCAGGCAAGATATACACTGTCATTGTACAAATGGAAACACTTCATTACTAATGTTATCCTCCCCAGGAATGTTCAGCTAGCCAAGTTCACACTAAAAGCAGTGTCTAATATTCCAAAAGAACTCAAAGAACCCAAGAGTAATGTCTAAGGAACTAAAGGCCTCTCTTGCATTGGTGAATGTCAGCATTCATAAGACCACAAAACTCCGGATAGCCAATATAGTAGACAGTACAAAAGACATTGTTTTGATGCAACTAGTAGTTGGGCAGATTTTACAGTTCTCTTTTCCATAAGGGTGGAGGAAACAATAGCATATGACTATAATGACAGTAACTAATATTCACATTTATTTAACAAATGTTTATATTTAAAAAAATTGTAAGAGCCTCAGCATCCGAATGGGATAGGGACAGCATAAAATGCAAGGTAGAGATAATGATAATAATGGACACTTTCTGTCCCTTTCCAAGGTTGTTTAATTGAATCTTCTTAATTTTCTTCTAGTTGTTATAGGCAACAGCAAAATCACAATGTTTAACTTTCATATCCTGTCATAGAAAAAAAATCATTCTATAAATCAGGCGACAGGACTACAACTTCTTGCTATGCTGTTTCTGCCAAGGGAAGGCCAAATTTGTATTCTCAATATTAGTTCTGTCATTATAGTTTTGACAATTAGCCAAAGGTCTTGTGCCAGTGCTGGATGAAGGAGGTCCCCTCACATTGACTGATAGTGCCAGCTCCAGCCACTACAAAGATTGGCTTTTTTAGAATGATTCAGAAAGAGGGACAAGTGTTGGCGCCCTCAAAACTTTGGTAGGCAGGACAAATACTTATCAGCCTTAGCCTAAAGGTGTCCCTATCTTGTGCTGTGCTACTCAGCTGTCACCTCCTTTTTTTGTCTGCTAATTGTGCAGGCTGGATTGTCCCATTATTTTCATGGATATTTCAAGAAGAGACGTTGCACACAGAATGGACCAGGACCATATCTAGTATGAAAATTGTTTTAAAAAAACAACACAATTTTCCTATGTCATTTCATGGCTTCATTTTTCTACACATAATACATATACTTTGGCCAAAAAGTTGTTTTAATTTCCACAGAGAAATGGTGTGCGTCGCAGGGTGGCAAGGAGATAACCATTACTCTCCCAAAATAATGTTGTTGCTCATCTATAGTTTGCGAAAGACCATATGGATAATCCAAAAAAGGCTATTGGACGAAATTCTATGGAGAAATTAGACTAATATAAAACTTTTGTGCTTAAATAAAAACTATTAAGTTTTGCAAAAGACAAATGCTGCATTCTACCCTAAGAACCTTGTCCCATGTGTGAAATAAGTTGCTGATAATATCACAGTTTGGGCTTGCTTTGTTGACTCTGAACCAGGATGGCTTGCCATCATTGATGGAATTTTGAATTCTGAATTGTACTGGCAAATTCTACAGGAAAATGTCAGGGCATCTGTATGTGAACTGAAGCTCAAGAGGAAGTGGTTATGCAGCAAGACAACAACCCAACAACCCAATCATACAACCAAAAAATGGTTACAGCAGAAGAAAGTTAATGTTTTCGAATGGTCAAGTCAAAGTCTTGAACTTAAGCCTGTAGAAATATTGTGAAAGACCTAAAATGAGCAGTTCATGCAAGGGAGCCCACCAATATCCCTGAGTTGAAGCTGCTCTGTAAGGAGGAATGGGCTAAATTCCTCCAAGACAATATACAGAACTGATCAACAGTTATTGGAAATATTTATTTGTAGTTATTGCTGCTCAAGGGGAACACTCCAATTATTAAAATACTGAAAGCAAAACTTTTGCAACACAGAAATATGTAGCCTTGGATCATCTTCCTCAGTAAATTCAATTACCAGTCTAAATTTGTTTCCTTTTGGGAGAGTAAAAGGAGTAAAAAGAAAACAAAAAATAGTTTCAGTTATTCGGCTAAGATCAGCTCACCTGCTCCCTTCATGAATTCTCGATAGTTGTTCACCAACACTTCCATGGTAACAATATTAGTTGCTGTTCTGCATAAGAAGTGAAATGTTAATCAATGCATAAGAACTGGACAACATGCAAATCATGCTTTTATTTGGATGCAAGTAATGAATAGTTCTGTATTATTACCCAATTCTCAACAAAGCATAATTACTTTTGGGATGAAATAAATGATTTAATTCTTGTTTTCGCTGAACACATCTAGGATTTTTTTTCTATTAATGATTTTGACAGTACTGATAGCAAATACTGACAAGTAAAAAAAGTACAAGTAAAACAAAGCTGTTCAGACACACTCAATCTAGATCTCATGGTCTGTAGGCCACATGTGGTCCTGGACAGCTAGTAATGTGGCATAAAGCAATTTATCTTCACTCAATTCACCTAGGCAAGCCTAAAGGTTGGACACACCTGGTCTACAAACCCATCTAGAAAAAAAATATAATCAGTTTATTCATAGTATACAGGTAAAGGTCAAATAATACCCTACCCTGGTTCAAATGGACAGAAAATAATACATGCTATATAAACGGAACTATATGTTATCTCAGACTTTACAGCAGTAAGTCCAAAATAAAAAATGCTACCGTTACTTTCTGAAATTTATTTTGTTGATCAACCAAACAGGTTATATATCAGATCAGCTAAGGCTTTTAGGACAACATGTTATAGAAGTACTCTAATATGACTAAAATATATATATTTAAGCAGCCAACCTTAGAAACAGAGCACACAGAGTAAGAAAAATCACAAATCATTTTCTAAAATATTATTTTTCGTATAGTGACTCAACCTAGAAAGATGCCAAGAAAAACTAACACATCCAACCACAATACAGATAGTTCAAAATAAGCTGTTACTGATGTGAAAGGAACCAACAGTATCAGTATACATCATACAACAAGAACAAACAAGGGAATTTAGAACAGCCTTACTTTGAGAGGATCCAGCCTTTTTTGTTTTGTTTTAGAATTTATGAAGGAATGAACAGTGAAAGATCAAGACAAGCTTAGGACCAAGAAAAAAATTGAGAAAACATACCAGAAGTCTGGTGGTGTCAAGTTGCCAATTGTTCTTGGCTTCTCCGAGTTTCGGAAATTTATCAGGCAAGACCAGGAAGAACAGAACCACCCTAAAAGTACAATAGAGACAGAAGATCAAGATAAACAGTCCACATCAATTATATTTATTTATTTGTTTGTTCATTCATTGAATTTATATTGCCGCCTATTCTCCCATGGTGACTCAAGGAGGCTTACAGAATGTAAAACCATATTTAAAATAAAAAACAATGTAGCTCTTTCCTGTTTCTATTATTATACATAAGAATATACTCTGACAGTGAAGCTAAGATAGAAGTACAAATAAAGTTACTTTAAAATATCTAAAGCAGGCATGTCCAATCTTTTGGCTTGTCTGAGCCACAATGAATGAAGAATTGTCTTATCCAAACAGAAGATATATAATATAATTAAGATATATAAATGCAAATAATAATAATAATAATAATAATAATAATAATAATAATAATAATAAT